GGGTTTTTTTGGGTTTTTTTTTTTTTTTTTTTTTTTTTTTTTAAGCTTTCAAACCCTCCTGAGCTGTTTTGAAGTAACAGAAATGTAAATGAAGAGAGAAGGCCTCTACTTTTGACTGCTTTGCTTGGCAGTCTTCCTGTGCTTTAAACATGGCTTCATTTTTTAAATTTTTTTTTTTTTGCATTGTATCAGCTGTCTCCAGAGAAGTTATCCACCTATGCTGGGAATTTCCGCAAACAATTCTTTAACTTGCAAACTCAACACATACTCTGTGTGTGGTTACTCTCCGAAAAAATAGCCTTAAGATGTCACTTTAACAGATCTGCTCCTTGTGGAGGTGGATCTGCTGACTTCAGGAACAAAACGTAAGTTTTTACTGCTTTCCAGCTATTTCTCTTGTTTGGGCTCCATGAATAGGACAGCTGCAAGAAAGCAAGTTGTATCCTAGTCCTGAGTTGAGTTCACTCAATTCACATTCTGCCCCTGTACCTGAGGAGCCCCATGCGAATACAATGAGATTGCCTTTAGCCAGGATACCCTGGTAACTTACACGAGCTTGAGAGCTACAACTAACATGTGTACAATAGCGCAGATTAAAACTGCCTTCCTTTTTGTTACAGAAATGCTGCCTTCAGAGACAATATGTTCCAAATGAGCTTGGCCACTCAGGTCCCATAGAAGAACTGCTTGGTGAGACCTTGGAGAAGGATGGCAAAGTCCATGATGCAATTCCCAGTCATTTCCATGGACACTGAAATGCATCGAGATGTGCATTGACATGCTTTGCCATATTGTATGTGCAGTGCAATACCCAGCCATGAAGAGGTGGGGTACGGGCAGGGTCATCACTGCTAGCAGCATACAAATGAAGTTGAACAGAAATACAAAAGGATGGAATAAGCTTGGAACTTTTTGGTAAAGAGGTATGTGCTCATGTTTTTTTTCTTTAAAGTTTGCTATTGACCAGGAAAACAAACAGGCAAATGATGTGTTACTACACAGTAATGTCATCAGTGATCTGTACAGGCATCTGAGTATATAAAATACTATATGTTCTGGCTCCAGACCTATACACTAGATCACATCAGTGATATAACTTGCTAGGAAATAAAGTGGGATATAGAGTCAGAGTGCCACTTCTGAGGCTTTGAACACAATCTTTGTAGGAGAATTCCTGGCAATTCTTAAGTCAAAGGGCAAAACTCTCTTCAGCTTCAAGAGGAAAGTTAAAAAAAGAAGAAGAAAGAAACCTGGCTCCCAATAAGACCCTCCTGCAGTAAAAACTAATGTTTCTAGTATGTGGAATGTGTCTTCCCATGGGATGGTAAGGCAAATTCCAGTCCCCCTTATTAGCCCTTTTATTCTGTGAAAATGAGGCTAAATGCCTTTGTTCATACCAGCTATACAGGCAGTCCTCTACTTACAATGTTTTGTGTTATGTTTTGCACTTATGACACTTATAAATTGACACCCTGTTTCAACTTTATGATGTCAGTTTTGACTTTACAATGCTTGATCTGACCTGATGCCATGCCAGCGAACAAGTTTGCTGCATCACCCATCTCCCCGGAGAACATCTGTCCAAACTTCCTTGGACACTTTCTTTAAGAAAGCAGCCAAGACTCCAGAGAAGACTCCAGCCAAGAACCCTTCAAAAAGTCCAACCAAGAGCCCCTCAAAAAGTCCAGCAAAGCCTCCTCAAAGAAGTCCTTCCAAATCAATATGATTGCTATTTACAGTATAAATACATTAATGTAGCTATATTACTCATCTATAATTGATTGAGTACAAAACTCTGGGTTATTTTTGATGAAAATAGGGTATTGGGCCTTGGTTCAGGAACCAATCCCCCATTTATGACATTGCTTCCTATGGGAAAATCAGTTCCGAGTTGCAACATTTTGACTTAAGATGTTGTTTTCAGGAACCAATTGTCTCGCAAGTCGGAGGGCTGCCTGTACTGGCAAGAGTCGGCTTTAATTAATGTGCATCATAAATCCATTTCTTAAATTCCCAATACAAAAGCATTTACTCTCATTTACACAAATCCCCCTTTACACAGCTTTGGCATTAGTAAAGGGGAGTTACTCTAAATGATGATGATAATAATAAAGGCTGGTAGGTGAAAGATATTATTTATGATAAAAAAGCAAACTGCTGTGCCTTCTCAACAGCTGCAAAGGGAGTGTACAAGTTGGAGTCTCTAAAGAACTCCATAGTCTGCACTCGTTGATTTTCAAATGTATCTCTTGACACACCTGCTCTCACACCAGTTCAGTAAGTTGCATTTGTACAGCTCAGGAGAATTTATAATCTAATCCAACTGGAAAAAGTCTCCATTTCACTTCAGTGAGAGTTGGATTTGATTCTTAACCCACACTTCAGAGAGTTTAATTTTGCTTTCCTTAATTGGGCAAAAAGCCCATTAAATGAAAGCCTGGAGTAAATAAGGACTGCAAGAGTTGGGCTGTGTGGTCTTACTAAACTTCCTTAATAGCATTTCAAAACAACATCAGAGTTAAAGCATACTACATGCTATAAGGAAATAGCCAGCATTTAATGTTTGTAATAACCACAGACAATGCGTGTATCATCAAGCAGAATTTTACTGCCCAATTAAGGCTCCCAAAGGTACTATCATAATACTAAAAGCAGACACTTTTCATTTGTTTTTATCTCTTGCACTACTAAAAGAAGATTTAAAAACTTGAGAAATTATTGGTTCTTTGGCAGGGAGATTAAATAAGAGTGGCTGTATCAGTCCTCTAAGAACTGTCCAGTGAACACACACAGCAATGCAAAAAATAATATCTGAAAATTTGCTAATATTTTGTCATGTCTACTCAACAGTTTTTGTTCTAATCTACTGCTGTTGTTTGCCAGCTCGAATGCTAAGATTAAACAAACCTCCTAACTCATCAGAACTTTAATACTGCAGGAGGAACAAGGAAAAGCATGGCTTATAGCTTGAAAATCTTTTTTCAATTTGAACTTTGTATCTCATAAACAGAAGGATTAGTCTTTAGACAGGGCTTGGAAACATGCATACAGAAGCCCTCTGGTAATAACTGTTACCGTCTGTGTCCAAGAAACTGTTTTTTCCATTAGGTTACCCCGTGGCAATTCCACCCTTTATTTTCTATATGATAAAACTGCACATCAAGTGCCAACTGCAGACATATCAGGGACTTTGGCATCATAGTAACATCTGATTTTAGAGAAATTCCCTTGATAGACCAACAAGAGCTGCAACACTGTTTTGTATAATCTCTTCAGCTGTCCATCTCTACATTAAGCATAGTGAGAGTGGGAATATACCCTGTTCCTAGCAACATGGAAAACTGGAGTTACACATTACAGTGCTCAACAGCCCTGCTGCCTATCTTACAAGTACAGCAACCTAAAATCCAGTTTCTCCTAACTTCGTTGTAAACCTGCATCCAATTTCTAGTGTAAGCTGAACTGTAATGCTCTTATGGAATTTGTCAGCCAGGCTTGCAAGACAGCAAGGGACCTACTACATTCTAACTGGGTTCTTTTGATGCCTGTACAATAAATACAGTGTACTCCATTTATTTGTACACCAGATGAGTGAATAACTTAATTCTATGACACAATGCCAGCTTCGGTGTACAGTCCTTTGGGTGGCATGAAGTCCTTTTAAGGGTGTCATGGAGTGCTACACAATATTAGCACTCTTAGGTGTACAAACACCTACTCATGATTCACAAGATAAACCCAGAAATTTCAAATAGGAATTCATAGTGTCAAATACGTTCTGACCTCTTGTGGTCTTTCTGAATTCTCCGCAACAGAAGAAGTGAGCTATTATTTTTTTCATAGTCAAAACATGAGTGAAAACTAAGAGCTGGCATTTCTGAAAGGCGTCTTCAGTCGAACAAGGGGTTCTTAGAGTCTAAAAAGGTTAAGAAGCACTGGTGTAGCCTTGCTTATGTTACAACAAGCTCTGGTTATCTGTGTATAATTTAAATGTGTGAAGTACTTAAGTGCCTAGTCTAGCTAAGCCCCTCTGTTTACTTTGTAACTTAACTTTACTCTGGTTAACTGCAGAGAAAATATAACTATCTATTTTGTAACTAATTGCACTCCATTTAACTACCAGAAAGAGCACAGGAGAAACAGCTCTCAAAGGACTGCTGTTAGAAGCCTCCAGTTACAAGTTAACTCACAGTCCCCCTCACCCCATGATGCTTTGCACTTCCCCCACAACTCCCCCCCCCCCCCCC